CACCACGCACGCACGCACGCACGCAGCGAGCCACCTCCCGCCTTCGCTTCACCTCTCTTTCTGCTAGCGCCGCACACCGCGAGGCGGGAGCCCACGAAAGCAGGGGGACGACGAGGCCCCAGGTAGACGCAGTAAAACGGCAGCAGGGAAAAAAGACCACAAGCGAGTGGGAGGCGGCCACAGGGAGAATAAAAAAAAAGCTAGTGGGAGTAAAGTACTGGGAAGAGCGTTGGTTAAGCTTGCCCTTCCAGATGACAAAGTCAAAGGCGAATGTGCAAACCAAGCCGGGGGCACCGGCGCGTGGGGTGTTGCCGTCAACGGAGCTCGAGCGCGTGTTTGCCGTCCTCCGCTTCGTTGCGCGGCAGCAGGAGGCGTCCGCGCCATCGGCGGTGATAGCTCTTGGCGACAACGAGAGCAACGAGGTCAACACCAGCACAGTGGCGGCCGCTGCGAGGGCCAACACGGGCAAGAGGCCCTCCGCCCCGCTCATCATCCCGGGGCGTGTTGAAAAGCCGTTGGAGGCGTTTCGCATGGCAGTGACGAACTTCCCCGTGCAGATGGAGGCGGTGCAGGCTGCCCGGGCGACGCTGCACGAGGCGCTGCGGGACGCCTACCCGGCCAAACTGGCAGAGGTGGACCAGCTCTGCCAGTGCGACAGCTTGCTTGCGCGGGCCGCGACAAAGGGCTTGCCGCAGTTCCTCTTGCTGGATGTCTATTCGCTGCAGGCGATGCACGAGGTCGTCCCGGGGCTGTACGTTGGCTCGTACCACCCGGCCTCCGACAAGGCGCTGCTGCGTCGTCACAACGTGACGCACGTGTTGTGCTGCATTGATGTGAGGCCCCGCTTTCCGACGGAGTTCACCTACCTCACGATTCGCGCGCAGGACTCACCGAACTACAACATTTCGAAGTTTTTTGCGCAAACCTACGAGTTTATTGAAGGCGCCCTGATTCAGCACCACTCCGGAGTGCTTGTGCACTGCGGGGCAGGCATTTCCCGCGCGCCCACAGTTGCCGCGGCGTACCTCATCAATAAGCTGCGGCTGACCGCGGTGTCGGCGCTCGAGTTGATTCAGCGCAGGCGTCATGTGGCATCGCCCAACATTGGTTTCCTCCAGCAGCTGCGGCTCTACCAAGAGTCGCTTGGCATATAGTTGGGAGTCGAGGGGGACGGCTCTGGGGAAAAGAGGGGGAAAAGTGACGCAACGGCCTCCCTTAACCCTCCTTTGTTTGCGTGCGAGTTACACGTTAGTTATGTTCTTTCTTCCCAGGCCCCGCCCTTTGCGGAGGAAAAGATACTTGAGAAGGTCAACAACAAGGACGTGATGTATGTGTGTGTGTTTTGTGTGTGGGTGTTGCCTTGGCGTAGTTTTCCCCTTTTGTTTTCTCTCTCCATCCCTTTTACCCCTTTCCCTCTCGCTCTCGCTCATTTTTTCTTTTTCCTTTTCTCTCTCTCTGTCCGCGTATCTCCTGCGGCCGCCTCGCCATTTTTTTGCTTCCCTGCTTTGCGTCTGGGCGTGGACCGGGGGAGAAGGAAGAGGAGGCGGAGAGCAGCGAGGGCAGCAGGCGACAGGGGAAGTGTTTGACCGCGACGGCGATGCTCGGCTCGGGCAAAAGCAGCGGCGTGGTGAATGAGGCCACCAACCTCAAGGCCAACCAGAACTTGACCTCGGCGATCGAGGAGATGGGGACAAGGGAGTACCTGCGCAGCCGCGACCTGGACGACGTCGTCCCCACGCACCGCCGCAAGGTGGCGGAGAGGCCGCGCGACAACGGCGTGCCGGTGTACGACCCCGCCGCCGAAAAGGAGCAGATGAGGCTGGAGCGGGGGGCCGTGCCGAAGGGCGGCGCCGACCGCGACGAGAACGACGACGAGGACGCGGAACTGATGGAGCTCCGCCGCCGCCGCGTGGCGCAGCTGCAGCGGCAGCAGGCGAAGGAGGGGGAGTGGCGTCAGAAGCAGCACGGCGAGTTCCGCGAGATATCGCAAGATGAGTTTTTCAACATTGTGGTGCGGGAGAAGGGCGGCAGCGAGGACGTCTGTGTGCACTTCTACCACAAGGACTTTGAGACGTGCCGCGTGGTGGACCACCGCCTCTCTGAGTTGGCGCAGAGGATGTTAAGCGTGAAGTTCGTGAAGCTCGACGCGGAGAAGTCGCCGTTCCTCGTGGAGCGGCTGCACATCAAGACGCTGCCGTGCTGCGTGCTTTTCCACCACGACGTGGCTGTGGATCGGATCTACGGCTTTGACGGTTGCATGACGGAGGACGGCACGCTCGACCCGGAGTTGCTGCGCAGTCGCATTCTGCGCGCCGTGCACCCCGGGCAGGAGGAGTAGCCTCTGCGCGCTGCCTCTCGGCCCCGCCCCCTTTCAGCGTGGCGAAGCCGACTGGGGGCGAACAGACACACATACACGCATACATTCACTCTCTCTCTCTCTCTTTCTCGTGTGTGTGCGTGCGCAGGGGCCCATGCAAGCCGAGCATGCACATGAGGGGGAATAAAATATGGGGGAAACAAAACAAAACAACAAAAACGGCGAAGAAAAGGGTGGCGAGCAAAAAAGAGTCGGTGCGTCTGTGTGTGCGTGTGTGTTCACAATCCTTTTTGTTTGGTTTGATTTTCCTTCTCTCTCCGTGCTGCGTGGCTTTGTGTGCGCCGGCTGCGGCGGGAGAGAGGAGTAGTGGGCGTGGGGGGGGGACCTTCTGTACGTAGTTGGCTGCTTTCTCGTCTCACGATTTCTATTTTTCTACTTCTACTTTTTAACAGGCGTCTTTCAACCCGTGCGCGGAAAAAGCG